AGATTAGGTAATTTGGTCAAATGCAGCAGTTCTGAGTGGCAGAGCTGGCATTCACTTAGACACTGGTAAAACAGCACAGCTGGGATGGTCTACCAGGAAGCTTAACTGGAGCACACTTTGTTAGATGATTTCATTCTCCTCCATTTTCATCTGCTTCAATCATAGCAGCTCCTGCAGTTACCTGTTTCACACATTCAGTTTCAAATTAGCTTTGAGTTCAGAAAAGAGTTCAGCCAAAAAAAAAAAAAAAAAAAAAAAAAAAGAAAGAAAGAAAAAGAAAAAAAAAAAGAAACCTGAGATACCACTGTATTCAACAATTAATTTAAGCTTTTAAGTAGTCTTATCTATGGTGTGATCTACACCATCCTAGGCTCTAGCCCCCACCGCCATTGCTGGAAGCCAGGTGACCACATGGCCCAACCACCGGTGTCAGCTCCACCCCCATCCTAATGGGATTCACTGCTCCTACTTTCCTGCCCACCTCGACAAAGTTTTAAGAGGACCTGTTCCTGAACACATGGCTCTCTTTCTGTCTCCTGATCTTTCTCCCTCTCCCTCTCTCTCACTCTTGATCTCTCTCTTACGCTCTTTCTCCCTCTTTTTCCTTCTTTGCACCTTCCCTCCAGTCTGTTGTGTTTCCCCCAATAAACACTCTCTCTTAAGAAAAAGCCTTTTTGTGCTTGCTTAAATTTGCTTGAATGAATCTAAATTTGTACATATATACATATATGTGCACATAAACAGATAAGCAGATTAGACATGATCTAGGATCAAGTAGGACCATCACAGATCCTCCAGTCAGGGGTCAGACTCAGTAAACTCAGTAAACTCTCATTTTACAATCTAAATGCAAACCCATTTCAATCCTATTGAAGATACTGTAACTCCCCTCCCCACAGTGCTACCAAATTCCTTTCCCAAGGCTGGCTGCTGTTCCAACACTTCTCTCTCTTCCAAACCTGCTCTTTCTTTAGCTTCTTCAGCCACATGAAAGGAGCCTAATATAACAACCTCCCATCTCACGCCACTCAATAGCTGTTCAGCAAGCATGTTCCACTCAGCAGTACAAAGCCTTCAAATCAGAGGCACCTGATGTTCTCTGAGTAGAGAGGGGGAGGTGGTGGTCGAGGGGCTCAGCCATTCACTCGCCCTCCTCTCTCGGCAGGATGGGAGTGGGTGAAGCCTTGACCCTGGACCAGCTGTGTTTTCTCACTACTCTGGCTCATGGAGTCCTCTTCTGGTCTTTGCACCTGCTTGTCAAGTCACGGAGCAGTCTGTCCTGCCTGCAATTGCTCAGGGACTTTTTATGCTCAGAGACCGTCTCCCTCAGTCACAACTGGGCTCAGCACCATTTCCCCAGATCTACTGCTATTAATTCTTGTCCCTAGTTCTTGCTACCGAGGCAGTCCATACTCAGAAAGAATGGCTGTCTCCTGGGCCCCCATGAGTTCATGTAATATCTGTAAAGACAGTGAAGGAAGCCACATCTGTGCTTGGAGGCTGTAGAGAATTACTGGCTTGAAGTCTTAAGAGCGGCATCTCCTGGGCTGAGTAGTCCTTGAGGACTCCCACGTGATTCAAAAGTCCCTTTCTTCCCTATTATTCCCCCTCTTGCTTTCAAGCATCTCCTCTGGTAGCAGCAACTGGAGCTAAAAGTGATTTCTCCTTTTTTAAAAAAGAACAGCTTTCTCAAGGCCTTTGTTATTAACTGGTTGATGCCCACGGACATGTGGGAGAAGCAGAAGGGCTGGCGCTGATGGTGCACTGTGTTGATAGCTTAGATTCTGCCTGCACTGAAGTCAAGTCACTGATGGCAGTAGCCGGGAGTTCCCCTTTGTTATCCGGAGTGCAAGGGTTCTCTCAGTTACTGTTTATTTCTCTGCATTCTCATTCCTTACATAAGATTTAGTTCTAGGGAAGCCCAGAATGACATGATGCATGGTTCTATACTTAAAGGGCAATGGAAATATCACATTACATGTAGTAGGATAAGAGCCATTTGTCCTAATCCTGGGAGTGGGCATGTGCAACTCTGTGTGCAAAAGGGACACAAAATTAAAAATGGAATTAAAAGATCCAGTTCTATCTCCCCAAGCACTTTCCCATGAATCCCTTATTGATGTCATCCTGCAGGCTCTGAGTGGAGGGGCAGAAATGCCCTCTGTCCGCCCTACCGAGCATGGGGGTCCTGTGATACAATCTTCCATAGCCAAGGAGCCTTGGTTGTCAACTCATTCTGGACCTGGACCTTGTATGTTAAAGTGACTCAAACTCCCACACCTTTCACCTTCTCCATCTGGTTGATCCAGGCTGCCGGACAACCTTGATCCTTAATGTTTTCCATGAAGGTTTCTACCATCACCCTCTCTAAAGCCAGAAGCCCATCCTAATCCATGCCTGGGTCCTGGTTTCTTCATTAGAGTGCATCGTTACCACTGAAGGCCCCACTAAAGTCCCTGTTGAGAAGCTGCCAGGGCTAGGATGGGAGCTCCGGATGCCTGGCTTTGATATTTTATTAGTGGATTCTGTGGGACCCTCTGCAGCCATGAAAATCCCTGTCTTGCCCTAGTGAGTTTGTGTTGCTGCTCCATCATAGCCTTAAATTTCTTGATAGGATCCTGACTCTCATCAACAAGGAGTCTGTCTTAAGGGCTGCTATAACAAAATATGTTACACTGGGTAACTTATAAAGAACAGGAATTTATTGCTTACAGTTCTGGAGGCTGGGTAATCTAAAACCAAGGCACCAGCAGAGTTGGTGTCTGGTAAGGACCCACTCTCCCCTCATACGTGGCAATTTCTTGCTGCACCCACACATGGTGCATGGTGGGAGAGGCAAAGGCATGCCAGCTGGTGTCTTTTAAAAGGGCATGGTCCTATTCATTAGGGCAAAGCCCTTCAAGACCTGTTTCTTGGCTCTTTTTTTAAGATTTGTTTTATTTATTTGAAAGACAGAGTTACAGAAAGAGATAGAGACAGAGAGAGGTCATCCATCCACTGGTTCATTCCCCAAATGGCTGCAATGGCCTGAGCTGAGTTGATCCAAAGCTAGGAGCCAGGAGCTTCCTCTGGGTCTCCACATGGGTGCAGGGGTCCCAAGGACTCTGCTGCTTTCCCAGGCGCATTAGCAGAGAGGTGGATCAGGAGTTGAAAAGCCAGGACTTAACGGGTGCCCAGATAGGATGCCAGCGCTGCAGGCTGGGGCTTTAACCCGCTGTGCCACAGCACCAGCCCCCATTTCCCAACTCTTAATATCACATGGGGGATTAGGTTGCAATATGAGTTTTTAGAGAGATGCAAATATTCAGACCATTGCAGTAGGAGAATGAACATCAGGTCCAGCAAAATGCACAAACGGATGATGTGAATTTATTTGGATCCATACCACCATGCCTCCTTCATGAAGCATTAATAATAGAATGGAAAATCCAGAATGTTTACATTTTAAAACTTACAGTTAATCTTAATCCCTTTGGATGGGATGTATTTTCTTGAGCGGCTTTATGGCTGTTCACTAGTAAATTTTGTCAGTCTGAATATTTACTGTCGGTATGTAAAGTATCTAAGTATGCACTATTCAACTTCTTAGCTTTGGAGTGAATAAATCACCCTGTGGCTTTCTCGCCTCATTCATAAATGATTCTTTTTCTGAGTACAACTCTCTGAAGTATACTTGCATCTGAAAGTTTCATGTGATTATTCATTGACTTATAAAATTCCCCTTGCTTTTTAGGAAGCTCCCTTTCTTTAAGGCATTTCAACAACTGGTACCATCACATTTCATGCCCTGAATTTTACTTAAGATGGGAGAAAGGGTGTCATTCTACTATTACTTACTGCAAACTTTAAATATATACTTGAGCTTTATTTAAAACCTAAAGAAATAACACAGTAATAAAAAGTTAATTACTAAAAACTAGTTAAAAGTGTATGGGCTTTTATTGTTAATGAAGGAATCTCAGTACATCATGGGAAACACTGATGGGAAAGTAGCTACATGACTTTCTTCACATGTGAGGAATGGAGTCTTATCAGCTCAAGAGAGAAATAAAAATTACAGAGCTTCAACTCCGTATAGGATTTGAGTTCCTTCCTGGAAAGTAACATCTAAGTACAAAAGGAAAAGTTTTCCCTTAACTCTATGCAATATTTAATGTTTCATGAGAACTAGGTGTCTCTTGCCCATGATTGTTTCAACATGCAAGCTAAATAACTGGATATCAATAATTTGTTTCACAAGACTAGTGTCTGCCATTACTAACTGATAGAATAAAAAAGGGAGAGAAGATCTAACATGGGAAGCGAGATACACAGCAGACTCATAGAATGGCAGATGTCCTAAACAGCACTCTGGCCTCAGAATCAGCCCTAAAGGCATGCGGATCTGGCTGAAAAGCCCATGAGAGTATTTCAGGCATGGAAAGCCAAGACACTCTGGCAAAACAAAACAAAACAAAACAAAACAAAACAAAACAAAAAAAAACAAAAAAAACCAAACAACAACAACAACAACAAAAAACTAAATGAAAGATCTCTGCAAGTGAGATCCCAGTGGAAAGCACAGGTCATCAAAGAAGGAGGTACCTTTCTCTGAAGGGAGGAGAGAACTTCCACTCTGACTACGACCTTGTCTAAATATGATCAGAGTCGGTGAATTCAAAAGGCTTCCATAGCCTTGGCAGCTCATGACAAGAGCCTAGGGTGATTACTGATGCCATCAACAAGAGTGTCAATTTGTTAAGTCAACAACAGGAGTCACTGTGTACTCACTCCTCATGTAGGATCTCTGTCCTCAATGTGCTGTACATTGTGATTTAATGCTATAACTAGTACTCAAACAGTATTTTTCACTCTGTGTTTCTATGTGGGTGCAAACTGTTGAAATCTTTACTTAATATATGCGAAACTGATCTTCTGTATATAAAGAGAATTGAAAATGAATCTTGATGTGAATGGAAGGGGAGAGGGAGCGGGAAAGGGGAGGGTTGCGGGTGGGAGGGAAGTTATAGGGGGGGAAGCCATTGTATCCATAAGCTGTACTTTGGAAATTTATATTCATTAAATAAAAGTTAAAAAAAAGATAAAAAATAATTTGTTTCATTAGGAAAACTTTGCTGAGAGTGTACCATGTGCCTTGCACTTGTTAAGTACCAGATATACTGTACTGGGCAAGACAGAAGAATACCTCTCTTGGCAGCTTTGGGAATGGTTCTCTTCGCACTAAGGGAACATCACCTGGAGCAGGGAGGGTGTCTGCCTGCATCCCATAGAAGATATTTTTTTTTGTTTTAGGTAACAGAAATCCCATCTAATATTGCTTACATAATAAGGTGCATTTATATGCTACATACTCATAAAGGCCAGAGGTAAAACTATATTCAGGAGAGGCTTGAGCCAGTAGTTCAACCACATGACTAGGGATTTTTTTTTTTTTAATCTTTCTATAGAGTTGGTCTCAACTTAAGCCTGGCACCTCTAAAGAAGCAATACTCTACTGGACCTAGAGTATTTATTTCTTGGTTTACATCCAACAAGCATTCACAGCAAATGTTTTATAACACCTCAAATCAGTTTATGCAGTATAGTTTAGTCTGGGACCAGGATATATGTACATCAGTGGAGCCATGGATGAATCTAGGTCCCTAGAATCACCAGTCAGAAATCAGGGCGATCAGAAAGGAGGGCTGATGCTGGGGAGGCATCTCATAAATGTTCACACTATCGGTGTGTGAGTACAGAACGAGGTAGGAACCTTGGTGAGCTCTCCTGCTCTTTGTTCTCATCTACTTCAACATAATTTATCGACAAAGTAGACACTACATTTACTTGACTTTACTGTTCTATTGTCTTCATTAACATGTCTTTACTACTCCTAGAAACTTTTGCATGAAAGGTAAAACTTGCAAATAGTATTTTTGTTCATTTTAGGGATTTCCAAGAAATAAAGTCCATCAACTACTTCTTAGAAAGAGAATTCCAGGATCAAAATCCTCATCTTGCTGTGACCTCTTAAACTATTGTATCATGATCTTTGCCCAGTGCCCTCGAAGCTCCCCACTTCCCCACCTCATCCCCTACTGCATTAAAAGATTCTCCTTAGGGGCTGGCGCTGTGGCGCAGCAGGTTAAAGCCCTGGCTTGCAGTGCTGGCAACCCATATGGGTGTCGGTTCTAGTCCTGGCTGCTCCTCTTCCGATCCAGCTCTCTGCTATGGCCTGGGAAAGCAGTAGAAGATGGCCCAAGTCCTTGGACTCCTTCACCCACATGGGAGACCTGGAAGAAGCTCCTGGCTCCTGGCTTCAGATTGGCGCAGCTCCTGCCATTGCAGCCATCTGGGGAGTGAACCAGTGGATGGAAGACCTCTCTCTCTGTCTCTACCTCTCTCTGTAAACTCTGTCTTTCAAATAAATAAAATAAATATTTAAAAAAAAAAGATCCACCTTAACCCATGCTTCAAAATCTCAAGATCAGACCTTGCCTTGCCCTTCCATTACTAGGGAAAGCAATAAATTCAGCTTTGTCTCAACAGGTTGTTCTGCTAATCTTTGGGAGGCGGCATTTGACAGAAGCCTCTCTTCAAAGACTCATTCCCAGGAGTAGACGCCTTCCTGGCTGTCCTTTCTCAGGATGTTCTACCTTTACCCCAGGCCTTTTATACCAGGTAGGGGACTACCAGGAGAGGGTGTGGTCCTTTCAGAGAATGGCATCAACCACTCTGGTTCCTTTCATCTCTGGGGAAAGAATCAGCCCATTGTGCTAGTGGTCACCTTTGAATACCATTCCTGGAGATGGAGAGAACTGAAGGCTCAAGCACATTGACATCCACTATCCTTGTTAACAACCATTCAAGTGTGCAGCAGGGACGCTCCAGGGCGCCACTCCTGGAGCAAGGTCATTTGTGAGTAAGAGGAGGGTCAAGATGCAGTTGACTTTCTGTGCAGGCAGAAATGTTATTTCCCACCACATTGCTATCATGTATACTCCGAGTGTTTACCCTAAGTGCTCCCGTGTTTGTGTGATTACTATCTCTATAGACTTGCTGGTTTTGTAACCCAGCTAAAGATGAGAAAATGTTAGCGTCCTTCATTTTTTTGGTACAGATAATTCAATACTAGAAAGAAGACCTGCTGGGGAAGTGAATGTTTTTGGCCTTCTTTGCTGGCCACACCCCCCGCCAGCTGGAAACACAACGCCCCATTAACTCTAGCCCTGCTGGCTTGTCCACACTGCATTCTGGCCACCTAAATCAATTGGCACAGATTCTAATGGCTTTCTTAGTAAGTTTTTAAGATCCCAAACATCTCACACATTTTTACATTCGGCAGACCAACTGACGTTTTTGGATACCGGCATGCTAAATCCACCATTAAAAATATTTTGTTTTTGGTAAAAATAAAATCTCAAAGCCAAGTAGTTGGAAAAAATCCTTTCCAAATATTTTCCCCTTCCTTATCTTCACAGATAGGTGGAACAAATCATTACCCTATGTAAAACTACTGTAAAATATCTTCTTGGTGAGAAAAGCCAGGTTGAGGGCCAATGTCCTGTCACTTCCTAGTCAGTTTTCACTTGGGGTGCAGCAGTCTGCCTCCCACCATTGGCAGCTCTGTGTCCTCCCCCTCTGTTCTGAAGGGCGATACTGAAATATGCCAGGACCTGGGGACCTTTATCAGCTGGAGGGGGGCCATCATGCTTTATGTAGGAGTCTCGGTTATTCTAAACATTTCTCAGTTATACTCAAAATGCAAAGTCATTGCTGGCACCTGGCAGTTCACAGGAACCAAAGGAGGATATGACCTCTTTTATGTCATTTTCCTAAACGGAGAATAGGCAATCAAAGTTTGGGACTTAATAAAAGCTATCCCCATTTAACAGCCTACAGCAGATTTATTCCTAATACCTTTTACATCTTACCTGAACTGAATTCTATTTTGGACTCTACCACATGGGGGAATTCTGGATAAACGGACCCAAGTTGTCCAATTATACGTCTCATTCATTTATCAGATACTTATTTAATACCTATGTAGCAGAGTTAGCATTTTTATTGTCTGTAAACATGTTGTCCCACACTTTGAATTAATACCACATATTCCTGCAAGCTGAGAGCAGAAAAAATGACGTTGCTCAATGAACAGCCAATGCCCCATGAAAAAAGAGCCTTAAAGCCAGGTCTTGTTGAGAGAAAAGAGACACTTACGCATTCCAAATGCTTCCTGTACCTGTTGAGAGGAAACTGGAGATGTGAACCTAAGTCCTATATGACAAGGAATCATATACAATACAAAGTTTCTCTCAGATGGCAGAACAGATAGGGAGTGAGGAGGAGGAGAGTTTCTAGTTTCACCTCTCAGGCTTGAAATATCCAAGTTCAGTTGGATTTAGTGGGGCAGCTGAAGATAAATGTGGCCCCACGGCCAATACAAGCTGGACAAACAAGGAAGCAATGACCATGTACATCTATAGGCAAGAAGAGAGTAGGGTGGCTGTAATGGCCCCAAGTCTCCTATAGCTCCTGTGAGTCCTGGAGAATCACTCTGATTTCCTAAATTTGTTGTGAATACAACCTATCCAGAGTGCTAAACCTTCTCACTCCTTCATTTCAAAATCTTCTGGAAAGCAGCTGTGTTCATGTCAGTCTATTTTCCTGTCCTGTAAGGACCCTTTTAAGGAGCCTATTCCCAACACTCCTGAGGGAGTGGGTACCAGGTCACATTTCCAGGACCATGGACCTAAGGCAAACTGGGTCAGGAGTGGACACCTAAGTCAACCTGGCCAATAGAATGCATTTTCCTGGGAATGGGTGGACCTCAAAGACTCCAGGTGGGCTCTTCCAGGCACTTAATGGATGAGACCTAGAGATGCCTTAAAGGGGCTGCTGGTATAATCCCAAGATAAGTCTGGGTGACTGCTGTTTGCTTTAATCTTAAAGTTTGAAGTCTATACTCTTATGGAAGCCGAGGTGAAAAGGAGGACCCTGTTCAGGCCAGGAATGGCCTGGACCATAACTGCCCGTTGCCATGCTGGGGATTTTATAACCCTGAATGGAAGAGGGGCAGCAGCTGAGGGGTTAGCGAGCTGATCCCAGCAGCCAGAAATCCCGAGGCAGCTTTTTAGCCTTAAGTATACAGATTTACAAAGGCTAAGCGTGGAGAAAGGAAGATTTATCCTCAATTGAACACCGCTGGTATAGGGACTTTGGGGTTAGAATCTTGCACTTTTGTCAATCAGGACAATATTGCTGATCTTTACTATATACTCTGATTAGATTCTCTTTCTCCTCCTTATAAAAGTAAAATTTGATTTAACCAAATAGAGTCTGTATCTGGTCTTTTGCTTCAAACCAAGTTTACCACTCATAATGCAAAAGCTATACAGAGCTCTACACAAGGCAGTGGAGGAAACCTGGAACTATGTCCTGTGATTCTCCCCAGGCTCATGATGTCAGCTGGCTTGACCTTCCCGAAGACAGGAAGGATACCATGATACGGCCAGGCCATCCCCATCTCCTCCTGGCTATCTGAGGGAGGGGCTGTGGTAAGGGAGCTTATGAGGCTCTGTCATCTCCTAAGGGCCACAGAGGGGATGCTCTTATCCCCAGTCCCAGCAGCCTGCTCTGGGGGAGCTCACGCAGCTTCACAAGCCTTTGACACCGTGGAGAGTAACGGGAGAAGCATTGGCTGACCTTTGAGTGTGCAGTGAAGCCATCCAGAATCCCTGAGAGAGAAACGGATTTTTGAACTCATTGGCTTTGAAGACTCCATCTGCCACCTGCCCTGGCAAGGTCAGGGTATACTGGATGCAGCCCCAAGCAGGTTGCCAGGTCTCTGCAGCCCTCAAGGTCTAGTCCTTACCTGCTCCCTCAGTCCCCAGGACTGAAGCGCTTCTGCCAAGCCAGGTTCCCCTCACGCTGAATCCCAACTCCCCCATATTTATTCTTTCCCAGAGTTTTAGACACACACACACACACACGCACACACACACACAGGCCTGGGAGTTAACTGCTTTCAAGCAGAAATTTGAAAGGTTCTTAGAGAGTATAAGAGCAGCTTATCTTCAAGGCCAAAGAAAAGAAGGCACAGAATTTAACCATGGTGTGCATCCATGTGCAGGGATCTTAATGACCCCTTCCCCAAAGCTGAGACAATGGCTCACTGAAGTGCAGGCATGCGAGCTTCCTGGCCTTTCGCTTATTTTCCACGACAATGTTACTGATGATATTTCTTTGTGTGACACAGTCTCGTGGGCCACACCTCAGGATGTGGGACATGCATCATAGCAGCTGTCACTGAGGACTTTCCTGAGCATGTACTATGAGCCAGCACGGGGCTGATTCCCACACAGATCGGACTGTTCAACCCTCACAGGCACTGTATGATGCAGGTGCTGTTATGACCTCTTGACTGATGGGAGACCTAAAGGAGAAAAACACAGGAGTAGACAATGGCAGCACAGCAGCCTGAATCGAGGTCTCTCCAACTGCAAAGTAGGGGTCTCTGACCACACTGCCCACCACCTCCTCCATCCTTACTGGGCCAGGCAAGCAAGGCTAGCCTCTCCAATCCTGCACTTCATCCTGTCCGGTGCCAACAGTTTTAAAGGACAAGCATCACTTCCTCTCTTGTGGTGGCTCTGGAGCACTGCACGTGTTCTTCAGAGATGTGAAGCCACAGGGAAGGTCGCCTCCCCTGCTCTGCCTTTCCAACAGCAGGCACAGGCACTTCGTTTCTGAGTTCTGTTGCAACAGTTGAGAGATGACCATTGTGTTAGGTGAAGCAATTCCACCTTTTGCACAAATGACTCCCAAGTTTCAGTGGTGTAACCCTAAGGACATTTATTTCTCACTATTGTAACTGCTGATCACAATTTTGCAAAAAGCTGGGTTCTCAAAGTTTAAGGAATATCTCCCAGGTGACCAAAGTCCCACAGTGCTTTAGCCTCACCACAGAAGGAATGGTCCAAGCCTGCCTGCCATACTTTCCTTTCCATCAACTGTTAAACTGATACACAATTGTACAGATAAATGGGGAAAATGTGGTATTGTAATAGACATATACAAGGTTTCTATGCTCTCCTTTGTGCAACACTTGTACACACAGCTGCAGAGGACCCGGCGTACAGCACCCAGCCAAGGCTCACTCCTCTGCCAAGGTCACTGGAAAGAACTGCTTGTGCACGAATCTGGGTTCGTCTCTCAGTCCTGCATTAACATCTCATCCTTTTTTTTCCTGATACTTTATATTTTTCATGTGAATATAATATTCATACAGAGAACAGGGGCACTGTAGTTCAGAGCTACAATTACAATATAATGATGTTCCCTTCCACCTTGCCCCCTTGACTCTCTCGTTTCTTTCCTTCTTTACCCATATCATCCTATTCCTCTTCCATTTTCTGCTTCCTGAGAAGCACAGAGCTTTGATACTCTTTGACACTCTCCATTACAAATAAGAATTAAAGTTACATGGGTGCAGAAAGTTTGTTACAACTGCTCTAACTGCCATCGCTAGTGACAGGCCTGGACAGTTTAATGAGCCTATAGATGGACTCCTGTGAGAATTCTACAGGAGCTAAAGAAGTGAGCACAGTTCAGTTAGTATCAGTTCCCCAGCTGCTTTTCAAGTGCCTCGTGGGTCCAATGGGCCTCCCTTAGGGATTAATTTTGAGTCCAGGAAAGAAAGAGTCTTAGATCTATGGCCCAGGGTAGAGATAACCTTAGGGATCCGAAAATTAGGGGACTCTGGGCTCTTCTTGAATTTACCCAGAGGCCCTGATGCCAGTATCTTTCTCTGGCACCATCTCCAACAAAGGAGATGTTGCCTCATCTTCAGGCATCTGCCCTGTGTGTTTACTTCCTTCAACTCAGGGGACGCTGATGGCAGAGGAATCCCGACACCAGGAGAGGGATTCTGGTCTTGGCCTCTCGGATGTTCCCATCAGAGAGCAGAGCTTCCTGCACTGGGATAACAGAGGAATGTTCTCTGCCTGGAACCTACACACCCTCAGTCAATAACTGCTGCCTGTTTTCTGACATTCCCAATCCTGGAGGCTCAGTTCTCGGTACTCACCGTGGGCAGGAGGGAGCAAGGCTTCACAGACAAGCTCCTCTCAACACAACAGACACTGTCTCTGTCAGGCTCCGGTAGCACTCTGTATGGATGACGGTGCTTACGACTGTGCACTTAGTGACAGGTGTATGTGCCAACTTCTGTCTCTCTCGTGCTAAGTTGTACAGGGAAGGGATGCTTTCACACGCGCTTACATTTTTGTACCTATTATGGCACTCGACCCTCAGAAATGTTACTGATTGTGTGTAAATTATTTTTGAGAGTGTGGGGACCCTTGGCTGGCCATGGGCCCACATGCTAAGGCTTAGCTTGCTGACTGTTTGCAATAGTTACTGCTGTGTGGATGTTTATGGTTTCTGTTGAGCTGTGATATCGGGACCGTTTCATAACCCGAGGCTAGAGTCAAAACAACTATGGCCTTGGGGCTTCCCGTGCTTCTTTTCCCACTAACCAAGGCTGAGAAAACACCAGGTGGAAGCTTGTTGTTAGCACAGGAGTTGCCTGCTACATGACCAGGAGCTTGATTGGATGAAGGCGCGTGATCACCTTTATGGTTGGACAAGGAGTGCATGGACTGTGCGTGATCAGGCACCCGATTGGAGTGCCGCTGCATGGACTGTAGCATGGACTAAGCTTGCTTACATGCTTCTGCAATGTTATACTATATAAGCTGTTTGTGATATGGGACGGGAGCTTCCCCTTTCTTTCGGAGCTCCCCTTGCTCAAGGGTTTCTTTTTCTATCCTGTTAAAATAAAGTCTACTGAAGACTGATCAGCTGGGAGCAGTGTCGTTCCTTTGTGGGCAAGGGAGCGACAGAGAGAATGAATCAGTAAATAAGAGAGTAAGTTGATGAGTAAGATTAGTGGGGAAAGAATTAATGAGAACTGTGTGATGGGAAGCAAGACAATGAGTGGTGGGGTAAGTGGCAGAATGATGGCCAGTTGCCTCCAGGCATCCATTCTCCTCTTCTTTCTAGCAAACATAACCTTTTTTGTTGTTTCACTTTTTTAGTTTTGCACATCGTCACCCAACAAAATAATTCATTTCTTACCTTCTCTTTGAAATTAGACATATCCATGTGACTGAGTTCTGTGACTGAAGTAGCAGTGTTGCATGAGACTTCTAAAAGAATACTTAATAAGGGGGTGTGTGGTCTTTTGATTGTTGCTATTTCTACCTTTTTTTTTTATGGCCTGGAAGATATGTGATGGTTGGAGCCTAGCAGCCATACTGCACAATGAGGTGACTTCAAGGGAAAAAAACCACACTGGCACAGAAAAGAAGAAAGAGAGAAATCTAGGTCTCTGTTGCTCAGACAGCCAGCTACTATAATATCCTACATTGCCTTTTGGAGGATCTTTTGTAAATAAGGGAGAGATAAATTTTCGTTTCTTCTGCTATTATTGTGTGTGTGTGTGTGTGTGTGTGTGTGTTAACATGGAGCTGAACCCGCCTGCCATCTTGCCTGAAATCACAGGTTATTGTCAGACAGTCCTACAATCCAGGCTCTGCTTTTCCAGCCTTGAGCTATTTCCAAAGTCAGGCTCAAGCCACGAATATGATGCTCCGAAACTCCGCACTCACTCAGATCCTGTAGATGCATGCCAAATGCCTACTCAAAACCACACCATGGAATGGGAGAATACTGATCTCTTAGGAGGACAATCTAAGCAAGGGGAAGTCCTTGATCAATGTTCAAAGCCATCAGTTTGGTGGGAGCATAGATGTTACCTCAGGGTGAAAGTCCTCTCAACCACAGGAGATGCCACCAGGGAAACCTGTCTATGAACACAGACCCTGGTGTCCTCACGCTTCACCAGGGAGTCATTTCCCCTCCGTACAGTGGGGGTAGTGTCTTACCTCCATGAGAGAATGCCAGTGCGCGATGGGCTTCCGAGGATAGGACAGCATTTCACTCCAGTGGTCTCTGCCCAGTCTCTCAGCCTCGTTGCCTACTTGACACACGCCGATGATCTCATTGTGACCTACACTGTGAAAATGGTCCACAATAGTTTTTGCTTAAAATTTGGGTACCTAAGAGCAACAGCTTCTCAATGAAATTGACAGCAGAACTGGGGAAGTGGTGTTTTCTTTTTACTGCTTAATTTAAAACTACAGGCCAAGCTTAACAGCCAATACGATTTGGGAGCCAATATTGTACTTTCTTAACACCGACAAGGGTTAGCTTGTTTCCAAGAATCAATCCTATGTGCAAAGAATTCCCTGATGCTTGCTAAAGATTCCAACCTCGTTCTGGAACGAGGTTGGCCTCCAAAACCATGTCATGAGAAGGAAGCCACCTGAGAGGCATTCCTCTAATAACGGCTGCTTAACTTTCCACAAGAGCCAACCAAGGACTGGTGAGGGAGTAGTTCCATGTCTGGCAGTCATGGGTCCGAGGAGGGGAGTCTCCTGGCTCTTCCTGCTTCTAGTCTCACTAAAAATACCACTGGCCTTTCTTTCCAAGGCCAGCACTGCTTCTGTGACCCGACTTGATTTCCCAAGTGTAGAATGATACTTAACCTTAACACTATTAGCCTTTCTAAAGCTTTCCCTGGATAGGTCAGCACCCTGGGCCATTTTTTTTTTTTTTTACTTTGGCAGTTTTTGTTAAAAATCCTTTGCATATAATGGGAATTAAAGCATGGAAATGATAGGTCCCATCAATGAACTCTGGGATCCAAGTGCACATACTTTCTCTCTTTTTTCTTCCTACAAAGATAAGTGATTATTCCTGTATTTGTGTGTGGGGAAGTCATGAGGAGGCAGTGGAGGGGAGGTGGGAGAAGGATATCTGAGTCTATGCTCTTTAGACTCAGATGTATGCAGAATCCCATGGATTCTGCCATGGAGTTGTCAGGCCAGATTCATGAGTTTACTGAGAATTGAATTGAGGCAGAGCTCACATAATCAGATTTGTTAATGCAGGAGACTTGGCAATAGTTTGGAAAATGCTGGCTTAGCTACTGCAATTGGTGGGCAACGTCCCCTCATGGGGTCTGACATTATTGGTGTTGTGTGTCTGCCAGAGATGGGACAAGGTCTACTGCCCAGCATGGGCTTTCACACCCATGGGCAGCCGGGCTGGACAACGGTCATGCTTCACGCAGACATCTGCTGGGAAGAACACTCAGGTCACCGAGGCTGCCTACTGACATTTCAGAGTTACGTGGGAAAATGTTTAGCTATAAATAATGTTTATAAGATTATATTAAGAATCACAATGATTTTTTTATCATCATGCCCAGACCACGTGGGAGGTTTCCAATTAAAAAGAGGCTTTGCATTTCAGTCTAATGACTGGTTTAACATGTATAATTCCCTGTTGGTACTTCCTTTGCATATTAAAATAACTGTTTTTCTAATCTGTCCTTTAAACACACAATTGGCTACAATGCAGGCTATAAATATCCCTTCAGTGCTGTATTAATTAAAAAGTCGAGCATCTTACACATTTTAATGTATGCTGTCACCCACCCTGGCTCTAGCATTTTCAAGAGAACATTTCTGTGTTTGCTTTCAGACTTAAGTGGATGGAAATGATCTTTGTTAAATATGTTGTGAGAAGGAACAACAAAGATTGAAGTTATGTATTTAGGAAGGCTGATGGTCTGGCTAAAGTAATCATTCTGCTACGTGGAGTGGGATCTTTCCCCTGAAGGGTACTCAGTGTTGCCTGACAGCAGATAAGACCTGTGGGGCCACCATTCTTTAAGCCAAGATTCCAGAAGCTATTCAGAGAGGGAAGAGGTGGGAATGAGGACACAGGAGGGAAAGAAACAAAGGGGGAGGAAAGAATGAGAGAGCTGTGAGGCAGCCAGGGAGTCTGGCTTTATGGCCTGTTTGGAATACGGTGACTCCTTGTCCATCTGCTGTCCATGCATTGCTGGTTCACTCACTGCCTGTGGCAGCCTGGGACACCAGCCAACAATCTACGGCTGCGCCCACTGGCCCTCCCTGCCCGGGGAACAGTGGCCTTGCACTGAGAAAGAGTTCCAGGTATCTCACCGGTCGTAGTCCATGACCGCTATGGACAAGTGGATTTGGTCAATGTTTTCAGGAGGGACATCAAAGACTATGGCTTCGTTGTAAACTGGATTCAGTGTGTTCCTTTTCGTCGATGTTTTCCTCTTCTTCAACCGTCTGCCGTCACACATCAGTGAGACCTTCACGTAGGGATCTGTGCAGACCACAAGAAGCGGGGGGACTGTGAGGATAAATGGGGATCCAGGCTGCAGTGATGTCACTGTGGGCGTTCATGGGCTGGGGGATGCAGAACACCTCTCCCTGCCTGTGGACTGGAATCCAAGGATTTTAATTAAGATGATAGCCAGGCAGTGACTAGAGTTGTGATAATTAAGTCATTCACTCAAGAAAAGCCCAGGACACTGTCTCCTCAAAATGCATGAAGTTTAAAAATAGTGAGAAAACATCTGTTCCCAAATGAGCCGACATTCCAGCTAGCATTCAAGACCCGCCCGACTGTGATAGGAGGAGAGCTGCCCAGGTGCTTCCAGGGCATGCGAAACAGGTCCCAAGCCCCCCAGCTCCGAGTCACCTTCGAGCACCTTCCAAAAGATTCGGGTCTTTGAGTAAAGACCTTTCTGGAATTTCTGGAATTTGACCTGCCTTTCTGGAATTTCTGAATTCCTGGGGAACATGTCTGGGGTCGATTTCCTGAGTACAGGGACCTGCAGCCCTTGGAATAGTCGGCAGTTAGGTTGCAAAGAGAGAGGCGGTTCCGTATGTCAAGGAGAGGAAGGACACAGAATTGCCGGAGGGGTGACGCTGCGGTGATGGCAGATGGGGCTCTCCTGGGCCCACCAGCACCTCACTAGCCTCCTCTCCATGTGTCCTCTTCACTTCCATGACCGTGCATGCCCTGACTGCTATGCACAGTCAAGAAGGGACTCAGAAGGCCAGGGATGGGAGGGATGGGGTGGGGTGAAGTGGAGGAAGAGCATATTGTGGCTGTTTTTATTTTTTTTTCTGCTTAGAAAACACGGGGGTACAGGATGCAGAATATATTGTATCTGATGCTGTTTGATTTCAGTGGCTGTGAGTCAGTGTGTCTTGGGTATTTTGTGGCCACATTTGGAGAGCCCCTGCAGAGGCAGTTTGTGAATCTGTATAATAGAAACTGCATATTGAGGCATTTTTAGGCTTCAGTTGGAATTTGAGTGTGCATGCTTAATTCCCTGGAAAAACCAAACTGTATTAGGAGACAGGGTTGTTTTCAATCTTCAATAACCCTGGGATGGTGATTTCTGAAGAAAGATCCAATTAGATCAGTTATGTCAGCAGGTGCAAACTATTAGGTCCATTCAGTTATGAAGACCCAAGGGAGAATGATAAAATCTAATAGTTGTAGCGTTTAAAACGTATCAGGTCATGTTCTTGAGGTTTTATATATGCTAGTGCACTTATTCTTACAACAACCCAATAAGTCAGATATTATTATACCTTCATTTTACAGATGGAATCTGGAGCCCAGAGAAGTTAAGTGACTTTCCCAAAGTCACACAGCTATTAGTGGTGGGGCTGGGATTAAACCCAAGAAGTTTGGTTCCAGAGCTAATTACTGTACTAGAAACTTGTTCAGGTACCACATTAGAACTGGATGAGGAAGACTGGATTTGAGAGTGTCCTACCTGATGCTCCTGTTATGTCCATTGCCTTTAAATTCCGTGCTTTTATAATGGTGATGGTCAGCCTGCCGGCCGTGGGAAGATAGCAGAGGGAGAACATCAACTCTCCAAGATCCACATTGTCCTGTTGAGAGAGCACAGACTAAAGTATTAGAAAGTGCAGCCCAGCAGGCGGCGGGCTCGGCTGCAGGGCAGCACAGGGAAAGGCCACGCCGCTCGGTTTGCTCCGCACAAGCACTCCTGGGGTCTCTTCCTCATAGCAGTTACATGGAGAGGAATAACCCCGTCTTCCTAAGGAGGCAGAGCCCATCTTCAGATCAAAAAACTCCGAGGGCTCCAGAGCCTCTGCCAGCAGTCACAGGCAGCCTAGCCCAGCCTCACACAGGTCCCTGGAGTCCGGAACACAGGCCCCAGAGGAGCCACCTCCACAGCCTGGACAGCCTCGGGTGTGGCTCCACTCATGTTCTACCTCAGGCCACAGAAGGGCCCCCAGGACAAAGCTGCCGCTCAGAAGACCCTGGTGGTGAGGTGCAGAGCGGCGGGCACAGCTCTGACACGCTTTGCTTGCAGTCCCACGGGGCATGGTGCCATGTTCCAAGCAGGTACCCACACTGCCTCAGGCACCTTCCTGTGCCCTCCCCTCAAGTTGGCCACAGCATTTCCAACAACCCCTGCCTACCCCAGAGCCCACGATCCCGGCACTGCAGAGCACTACACACAAGCTGGTCACACACAACCTGTATAGACCAGCACCCAGTTCCCCCAGACCCCAGAAACACCTGGTCCTCCCATGGCTCCTGATGGGACACTGCAAGATCTTCAAGAATGAGGGAAGGACCCCACACACCTGCAGCACTGGAACACACTCAGGCGCTCACTCGGTTGCATACAGCAGAGGAGAGCAGAGGCGCAGACCAGGCACCCTGCTGCTGCCCCAGAAGCCCGCTTGCTGCAGCTCAGTTCTCCTAGGAGCCCTAAGGAGCCCGCAATGCCCTCTGCTGGAGAAGGCATCTCCCCAGGCACTGTGCAGCCATTCAAATAGGTCAGAAGACACAACTCTCTTTTTCTCCCCTTAGCCAGGGAGAGTGTTTCCAGAAAGGAGAGGGTAAAAAAAAAAAAAAAAAAAGAAGAAGAAGAAAAAGCAAAGCCGTTGATTTAGTTTCAATTTCTGAGAGATACCTGAGGTTACTGAGCCGGTGCCAAGGTCTAATTAATACAGTGTCACACTGATAATGCTCTGGGGAGTCAGGTTCCTGCCTCCACACCCACAGCCTCCCCTCCCCTCCCCTCTCCCTTCTCCAAGGATGCTTCTATTTTTAGAAGCACAGATTCTGCTCTGGAAGGTCACCTCAGCCAACCCCTCTGCCTTGATTGCTTCCACGGAAGGGTGAGGGGAAGGGTTCTGTTTGGTCACTAAGGCAGATGGATGGCACTGTGCCTTCGCCTTCGCGCATTGCTTGCCTCCTGTAAATAAATGACTTCATCTTGCAAGCCAGGCTTTTCTGGCTCCTGAGGCCCTGAATCCCATGTCCCAGGTGGCTGTGCCTTTCCCTCTGGGGAGAGGGCAGGGGTCGGGGAGGCAGACTTCTACGGCAGTGGGGGCATCACACACACACCCAGCCGGTCTTAGATTGCTGTGGTGCTGGGTTCCCTGTGATGGGAGCAGCGGCTGTCAGTGAACAGCCAGGATCTGACCCGGCTTTGTGCTGGTGACTACCAGCAAGCTGGTAACAGCTGGCCCATAGCCCATGCACTTGCTTCTTCCTTCTTCCCTGGACCACCAATTCCTGTTCTTCCCCGAGACAGTTTTACACTGGTCCTTGCTCTCCCCTCTCACCTCATCCTCTCAGCAAATCTTGGTTAGACAAAGTTATTAGAGAAGTAACCCAAATCATACCTATGGAACCTCCTGATCAATTCTTTCAACAAGTATTTCTGGGGACCACCTGGTGCACACACTTTGTAAGGTCTGAGATGTGAAAAGGCTTATAGAACAGTCGCTGGCCCCAAGGCTGATGCGTGTAATTAAATGTAACCTGTCAGAGTACTCAAGTGCTAACTAGACAGACTTCCCCCAACATAAACCCCACTCACAAATATGTGTGTCATATGAGATAAAACAAAATCAAACCCTGGGCTTGGGGGTATATTCAGAATGTGAATCAAGGCTAAAGTCCACATTTGTACTTTCGAAATTAGCAAATTGGACAAATAGTTATCAAAGAAAAAATGCTTGGTTTGATTTGCTGGTACTTTAAAAATAACTTTTTAAAACATTTTCTAAGTTATAAAAGTAAAATGACATAAAATTCCAATATAGACTTTATGTCCAACAGTTAAAATACTCCCTTTTCTTGTTTTTATAGCCATCCATATCATTCCTTTCTCCTTAGTAACACAATGAATAATTGTACAGACTTTTTCTTTTCATTCATCCATTCATCCACCTATTCATTTACTCATTCATTCACTTACTCCTCTAACATTTGCTGTGGCTGTCGTAGCTGAATCTGCAGTGAACAAGAAACACCATCCCTTGAGGGGGATGAGCTTCTGGGATATGGAACAGGAATTCTGGGTACCGATGCAAACTCTGCTTTCTCCTCATCAGCTGATGCTGACTTGATGTCTGTCAACATTCCTTTAAACCAGTGGTTCTCAAACAGGAGCCATTTTGCTCCCTGGGAAGACATCTGACACTCTCTGGATCAACTTTTGATTGTCACAAATGGGGAGAGGGTTGTGTAACTGACATCTAGTGGGTAGAGCCCAGGGATGCTGCAAAGCACCTACAGTTCACAGGGGACTTGTTCACTACAAATAACTATCTGGTCCCAAATATCAACTGGTGCCAAAGCTGAGAAATCTGACTTACACAGAAGTGCTAAGGTTCTTAGTAAATATTTTTCTAGGATGCTGATAAAAGTAAAATACAAAGAGGTGGTGGCATATTTGGCTTCTTTTTCAGTTTGACAGGAATCAGAAATGCAGAAGTGTCACTGGCGGTTGAGGGCCCTGGAGGGTACAAGGGGAAGGAAGATGCCACACTAAGAAATGCTTCATTTGCTCCTGCTTTGTGTGGCCAAGTTCAGCCTTGTTGGAGAGGCATATTGGGAATTCACAGCAAGCATGTGTGAGTTCCCTACCTGCCAGTCCGTAAACTCTGTGATCTGTCTGCCTGCGGTGGCCTACAACAGCTGTAGTTTTTTTGTCTGACCAGCGCACTTCTGCATTCCTCTTTTTGTGTTCTCTTGGTGAACTCCTTCCCAATTCCATGAGGTTCTGAAAACACAACTGCAGGAATTGAGACTGAAAAAACTCATGGATCCATCAGTGTTGTCAGGGAAGGCTAAGAAACCCAAGCAGGACCACTGAGAGTACCTCTAGGGGCAGCAAAATTGATGTTGAGAAAGAGAAATTCTTATTTTATTAGGGTTATTCACTGGAAAGATATAAGACTAAACTGTCACAAGGTTCCATGAGTATAAGTAGTACAAGAGACATAATATCACTACAAGTTAGCACTGGTAAGGTAAAGATGCATGCAATAAATTTAAATAAATAAATAAATAACAGAACAAGGAGTTATAGCTAGTAAGCCAAGAGAGGAGATAAACTGGGTACTTAAAAATGCCTAATTAATCCAAAGAATGCAGGACAAAAAGAAAAAGAGAACAAGATCAAAAAAGGGAAATCTAATAGAAAGTAAACACTTGTAGTAAGATGATATATTTAAACTAAACCATTTTGATAGATTAAATTTAAATGATATAAACCTCCAAATAAAGGCAAAATTATCTGATTCAATAAATAGCAACACCAAACCATATGTTGTTCACAAGAAATTTACTACAAATGCAAAGATAAAAATATATTAGAAGAATAAAAAAGATATGCCACACTAACACTAGAAAAAGAAATCTGGAGTGGCTATATTAATATCAGACAAAGCACAGGTCAGAACAATGAAATCAAAGAAAGTTATTTCATTAGAATTGAGGGGTAAATTCATCAAGAGTATAAAAAATTCTATGTTTATGCTCCTGATAGCACACCCTCCGAATACATGAAGCAAAAACTGGTAGAACTGTAAGAAGCAGACAAGACCACAAGAAATATCGAATCAATCTTAGTATTCATTGATAGTTGAATATATAAAAAAATGTGATATTTATACACAACACAATGTTATTCAGTCATAAAAAAGAATGAAACCCTAACGTTCGCAGTGAAATGGAATGAACTGGTAATCATTGTATTAACTGAAATAAGCCACACACAGAGAGTCAAACACTTCATATCGTCTCTGTATGTGAAAATTAAAAAATACATAAAAGTTAGAAAATTGATTACTAGAGGCTGGGAGGGGTGGTGGGGATATAGAGGAGTTGGATAAGGGGTACTAAACCACAGTGAGGTGGAAGTCATAGGCTCCAGTGTTCCATAGCTCGGTGGAGTGACTACAGTTCATAATACTGTGTCCTATACTGTATAAAGCACTGGATCAAGAGCTGACAGTCTCCAAACAGAGAGGAAGGGTAGGGAGGTAGAGATGTCGCTTGCCTGGTTTGATCAGTTTACACTCTATGTTTGTTAAAGGATTGCACTGTGCCCCATCAAGATGCACAGGTAACTAACCATAGTCAGAGATTTGAATACTCAGATAAAACTAAATTAACTTGGCCTATCTAATAGTAGGCCAAGCAGCAGGAAAATACATATTCTATGTAAATGCACTCAGAACACTGAGCAAGATAGGTCATAAACCAAGTTCCATTTAGATACAAGAATATTCAAATCATGCAAAAGGTATTTTCTTATAACAGTGAAAACTAATTTCAAATAAACAGCAAAAAGAAGATACCTAGAAAATCTCCAAATATTTGGAAACTAAGTAACTAAATACTCCATAGGTCAAAGAAGAAATCAAAAGGAAAAGTAGAAAGCATTTTGAACAGAGTAAAAATGAAAACATAACATATTAAAATCTGTGGAGTGAAACTAGAGCAGTAGTTACAAGGACATCTATAGCACTACAATGCCTATGTTAGACAAGAAGAAAATCTCAAGCTGACGACCTCAGTTGCTATTCTAAAGAACCAGAAATATAACAACAAATTAAAC